GTTTCTTAGGAGTTTCTGTACCGAAACACTAAACAGTGTTCCGATACAGAAACAGGGGGAGATGCATGGAATTACTCTATTCAAGCAAATTCTGAGTTAGCCACGGTGGAGGGGAGGAACACAGACTTCCTGGTCGACACCGGCGCCACACATTCCACACTGAACTCTGCCCCCCTCCCCTCTTTGTCTGGCATCACGAACAGTATCTTTACCAGGGTTCTCAGGGACTGAACAGAGTCTGCCATTCACTACGCCTTTGTCCTTCACATTGGGTAATCAGCACATGAAACACTCCTTCGTGAGTTCTCCCACAACTCCAGTTAATCTACTAGGAAGAGACTTACTGATAAAAATGGGAGCTACAGTGTTGTGTTCCGCTGATGGACTAACTGTTGCATTTCCTGATGGCACCTCCCTACGCTGTGGAAATTTTCACACAGATGGACAGTTTCTCATGCGGCCTGTGGTATCTGAGTATGCTGATATCTACTGGGGCCTTTTAACGAACTTACCCTCCAGCAGCCTATTGTCAACGTTCATGACCTGGAAGCCCTGGGTCCTGGCTCTGCGTCCCTATGTCTCGCCGCCTGACCCGCCTCATCTCACCCTCTTCTACGACAGGGAAAACACAGAATGGTACCAGGAAGCCTTCCTTTCCTCTGTGGAGGAAAAAACTTGGGAGGTAAAAACTTCAGATATTTTTGTGGCTCCTGGTGGTGTGGCTGCTGCTGTCTGTCTCACAGAAGAACAATTAAAATGGTATGAAATGTCTGAAGAGGCTGTGCCTCACATCTCTCTCTCTCTGCACCCTGAGCATCAAGCTAAAGAGCTGGGCGGCATGGTTAAGCAGTCTCTCGCAGCAACAGACTGGGTTGTCACCGCAGCACCAGGTTTGTCATTCTCACCCTCTCTTGACACATATAAAATCAGTTTTTCAAGCTCTGAACAGGTGGAGCTACATCATGAACAGGTGTCCAGACATCACGGTAGGGAAAAATCAGACCACCCTTTAGCGGCTCAATTAATCACATCCATGCCCACATCTCTCTGGGCAGAGTCGCCTACAGATGTGGGGCTTGTTTCCTGCTCTCCTATTTCATTTCAGGTGGACTCTGAGAGACCCCTCTGGATTCCTCAGTATCCACACAAACCCGCAGCTGAACAGGGCATCGCAGAGACAATAACAGGACTGATTGAGGCTGGCGTGCTGGAACCCTCACAATCTGACTGGAACACTCCCATTCTACCGGTGGAGAAAAAAGGTACCGGTAAATACAGAATGGCCCATGACCTGAGAGCAGTAAATGCAGTTCTGAAAACACCAACTGTACCGGTACCGAACCCATATGTCTCCATTGCTGCCTTAACTCCCGGTCAGCAGTGGTACACATGTATTGATTTGGCAAATGCATTTTTCTGTCTCCCTCTGGCTGAAACATGCAGGGATTATTTTTCATTCACTTACAGGGGACAGCAGTGGCGTTACACCAGGCTGCCACAAGGCTTTGCCCTGTCCCCTGGCCTGTTCAACCAAGTTTTGAAGGATGTCTTGCAGGACTGTCCTCTCCCTCCACAAACGACCCTCATCCAGTATGTGGACGACCTTTTGCTGGCTGCCCCCACCGCGGAGACCTGCGTTAAAGCGACCTCCCTGGTTTTGCAGCACCTACATCAGGCGGGTTTCAAGGTCAGTAAAAACAAATTGCAGATTGCAAGAAAACAGGTTTCTTTTCTGGGCAGAATAATTTCTGCAGGCACAACTAGCATGTCTCCTTCCCACAAGCAGTCCATTCTGCAACATCCTAAACCCTTCAGAGTTAAAGACATGCTCTCTTTTCTGGGGTTAACTGGCTACAGCAGGAGCTACATTCCCTCTTACACTGACCTGACTCAGTCTCTTCGGGCCTTGGTTAAAGAACAAGGCATGCGAAATCTGAACAATCCCCTCATTTGGACAACTGAGGCGGAACAAGCTTTTATCTCGTTAAAGCAAAACATGGCATTGGCAGCGGAACTCTCCCTCCCAGATTACACCCTGCCGTTTTTTCTTGATGTTTCTGTAACAAAAATGGCTGTTAACGGAGTTTTGTTCCAGAAAAAAGGGGGAGAGAGAAAAGTACTGATGTACTTATCTGTAATGATGGACAATATGGAAAAAAGGCATCCCCCATGTACGCAACATGCAGCTGGGATAGCCAAACTCATACAAAAAACCGCACATATTGTCATGGGACATGCACTGCAAGTGTTAACTACACACAGCGTGGTGGCATATGTAAACTCACAGAGTTTCACCATGACGGCGTTGAGACAACAAAGGCTTTCCAAAGTTCTGGAAGCTCCAAACATTTCATTCACTCATGAAGGCATAAATATGGCAGACTGTTTTGCAGACGGAGAACCACACGAGTGTGCAGAGCTGGTGGCAAAGTCAGAAAAGGTAAGACCAGACCTGGAAGCAACTCCCTTGATTGGACCAGAGGTGAGACAGTTCTTCACAGATGGTTGTTGTTACAGACACCACACACAAGAACTAAGAGCTGGTTTTGCAGTAGTAGAAAGCACAAAAGCAGGCTTTCACACAAGAAAGGCAGAAAGACTGGAAGGAGCAGCATCTGCACAGAGGGCAGAAATAAAAGCAGTTGCGGAAGCGTTAAAGCTTGCACAAGGGTTACAGGCAAACATATACACAGATTCAGCCTATGTGGCGGGAACAGTCCATGTGGAACTTTGCCAATGGATGAGAGGAGGATTTTTGACTGCAAGTGGGCAACCCATAAAACATGAGCGTGAGATAAAAGAATTGGCAGAAGCATTACTGTTACCAGCAAGAGTAGCAGTCATAAAATGCAAAGGTCATGACCTATCAGACACATTGGTTGCTAAAGGCAACCAGGCAGCCGACAGAGCAGCAAAAATGGCTGCAGGGTACAAAGACTTCATGATGGTGTGTTCCTCGGAGGAGGAATTAAAAGACAAGCTGACTCTGGAAGAGGTGAAAAGATGTCAAAAGGGGGCGTCTCCAGAGGAGAAAAACATGTGGAAACACAGAGGGGCCACTGAAACAAATGGATGCTGGAGGGGCCCAGACGGCAGGTTAATTCTGCCCCCTGGGAGGAAACAGGAGCTGTTTCAGGAAGCTCATGGGGTTGGACATGTGGGAATTAAACAGATGTTGCACAACCTCAAAGAATGGTGGCACCCTTACATGATCGACATGGTGGAACATTTTGTGCAAAATTGTGAAATGTGTGGACAGTTCAATCCTAAGAAAACTATGAATCCCCCACAGGGACGGTTTCCTCCACTTACATCTCCAGGGAAAGAAATTGTGTTGGATTTCACAGACATGCTGAACACAGTGCAAGGAAAGAGATATTTGCTGGTTTGTGTTGATGCTTTCACAGGTTGGCCAGAGGCCTGGCCAGCAGCAAAAGAGGACAGTAAAACAGTGATAAAGTGCCTGATCAACCACTACATTCCCAGGCATGGATTTCCGGAGAGAATCAGGTCAGACAATGGAACCCATTTTAAAAATAAGGATCTGCAAACAGTTGAGGCCCATCTCGGCCTCAAACACAGGTTTGGAACAGTCTATCATCCGCAATCTCAAGGAAAAGTGGAAAGAATGAACCAAAACCTGAAAACAAAATTGGCTAAAATCTGTGCACAGACCAAATTAAACTGGGTTGATGCATTACCTCTGGCTTTGATGTCCATCAGGTGCTCGGTCAACTCCGGGACAGGATTGACACCGTACGAGATCACCACTGGACAAAGCTTCCCAGGACCCCGACCGCCAACACAGGATCCAGGTGACCTACAACCTCTAACGAGGAAAGACTATTTTTCTCAGTTACAGACTTTAAAGAAAGAGTGGTGTAGGATCCAAGGAGAACGCACAGAGAGAGGGACTCTCACGGAGCCCACTACCCAGTGGGTGTGGCTAAAAGTCATCAAACGAAAGTGGACGGAACCTAGGTTCACTGGACCTTACCAGGTGCTGGAGAGAACAGCCCACGCAGTAAAACTTAAAACCAAAGGTGACACCTGGTACCATTGGTCACAGTGTGCAGCCGCCCCAGAACCAGCAACGGTAACACACACCTAACATGCCTCCACCCACTCGCATATCCATGCGCCGGGTGCTTCAGACACACCCTTGGTACACTGCAGCAGTGTTGGGCACCATAAGTCTGGTGATAACATGGATGGTTTTTGGCTTAGAGTACATACGGGTACATGGGATAAATAACACACAGACGACCCTGACATCACACCGTATAGTACCTAGAGACATCCCTTCACAACATGCGACTGACGGCAGCAAACGCAGCTCAAAAAACCAACAACCTGTACTGACACTGAACTACTACAAGGGCTCTGACACCGCATTTAAATTTGACCTGTGTGACATTATTGACTGCGGGGGTAATCCATTGGGATGGAAAAGCTGGGAGGTGTATCTGTGTATGAGCTCTAACATTAACAGGTGCTACGAAGCTTGCGAGAATGGGTGGTGTCCTCGCTGTCAACTTTGTCCTAGCTGGGACAGGGTCACTCATTACACAGGGGAGTGGTGGACCCCAACACACTCCCATTTGCCCAGTGCTCAGGTAAATAAGATTTCCTTTTCCAGACTTCATTCACACACAGATAACCCACTCATTTTGGCCTTGCATGACGTACACAAGTCAGTATACGACGGCAATCCTTACCGGATGTACATTGTACTGGGGGTTGAAGCAAGCGGAGGGGACCCCCTAAAAGTCATCTTAATTAATCTCCTGACGCCACCAAAAAACAATTCGGACTCCTCCCCTGAAATTAATGATTCAGGATTTCTAGATAAGCAAAATGGCAATGTGATTACTTTTGACTACTCTAAATTGACCCCTGCTGACGTGCTAATGCTAGCTACCGGTTATACAGGAACCAATTTATGGTTAGACTGGTTAACAGCAACAGTTCGAGAACACCATATGTCTAACTGTGTGGCCTGTGCAGCAGGGCGACCTAAAATGTATACTGAACCTGCACCTTTGATTCAATCTGATGTTTGGGGCTTTAACTGTATGCTTAGCATGACTAAAATGAAACAACCCTCCGGATGTGAAAACTTAACAGCATTATTCCCGCCAGTTAACAACAGAACCCGAGTGGTGCCAGCTATCCCAGTCAAAGATAATTATGTCTGCTTCAATTTAACAAAAGGTAATGTCCGTGTAGGCCAGATTGATGCGAGCTGGTGTAAAACCACTCTCCCAGGACATTTAATAGGTACATGGGCCAGAGACGGGTTATTCTACCTTTGCGGAGGAAGCAAACTATTTGCGAGACTTGAGCCAACCATGAGAGGGGTCTGTGCCATGGTCCGACTTAAAGCACATGTGATCATGATGGGAGAAAAACAACCGGTGGAGGACAGTATGTTCTCACGTAAAAAGCGCAGCGCCTTTGACTTGCAGGCAAACTCACCCACATATATTGACAGCATCGGTGTTCCGCGAGGAGTACCAGACCGATACAAACTAGCGGACCAGGTTGCAGCAGGCTTTGAAAGTCTTCTTCTATTTATAACACCCAACAAAAACGTAGACAGGATCAATTATATTCATTACAACACGCTCGTGCTCACAAATTTGACTAGAGATGCAGTTGAAGGGTTGGCTGGACAATTAGCCCCCACCTCATTGATGACTGTCCAGAACCGGATAGCAATAGACATGATACTAGCTGAAAAGGGGGGGGTCTGTGCGATTTTTGGAGATTTGTGCTGTGTTTTCGTTCCAAATCATACCTCTCCTGATGGCAAGGTGACCAAGGCGTTGGAAGGACTGAAAGCCCTGAGTAAAACCATGCACGAGCAGTCTGGAGTGACCAACCCCTTGGATCAATGGTTCACAAACATGTTCGGGAAGTACAAGGACATTATTATCTCTCTACTGATCTCTGCGGCGACTTTCCTTGCCCTCCTGATCACCTGTGGTTGCTGCTGTGTCCCCTGTCTGAGGTCATTGGCGGTGCGGTGCATCACCTCAACCATAGAGAAAGGCAGCAGTAGTGATGGAAATCCACCTGCCTATCAGATGTTGTCCCGGAGACGTGAAAGAACCGTGAAATTCCAGATTGCCAGAGTTTAAGGGCAGTACTAGTATCCAGTAACAAAAGAAAATTTTCCATCACTTTAATGTTCTTTATATAATCCATTGATTTCGCTTTTGTTGTGTTTTTTCTTGCAGAATGAAGTCCAATCCTTTCTGGGTGTGCCGGGGTGTGAGACTGTGGGCGCCTTCCACGATTGGTGGACCGAGTTACAGCCGAAATGCCACACTGAAGCCTTCCAGGCACTGTCGGGGTTTCCCATCGGCCGCGCCGGCTTTACATCTGGACACACGCAGAAACTGATTTGACGTTAAAAGGTCTCGCTATAGAGAGGCTGCAGTGATTTGATTTCATTACAATGATTAAAGTTTGATCAGAAAACATTTTTACTTACTTTTAATCCTAGTTTAATCATGCCAGTGTATTTTGAGTGTACTGCCTTTAATCCTGATTTACTTTATTGATTTGATGTTTTACGAATGTGTTCATTGTTCTGTGCCTTTCAATACTCAGACTTCTAAGCCTTTCTTACCATTTCATTCCGTTTAACCTTGCATCCTTTTCGTAGTTCAGTAACTTTTACATATTACATCGAAATTTCAATAAGTTTGGTTTATAAGACTAACACCTTGTTTATGTATTTCCACTTTTACTTCATTAAGTTCGAATTCTTGAAGTTCGTCCACGTTTGGTTTTTAAATTTTGAAAGATATTGATCTCACCTTTTAGTCTTCTAACAATGTGTTCATTTTTGCATACTACCTAACATTTCACTGATTTTACAAATAATTTTAACCTAACACTTCACTATTGCATTTTTATTAAGTTCCACACATTATCCTAACATTTTGTTCACTTAGCACTTTTGTAGAACTTAACAACTTAGTAACTGTGACTTTTCACCTTGTTTTTAATTACTAACAATAAAACAAAAAAAAAAATACAAAACATAACACAAAATTTTAGACTTTGTTCTTTTGAGTTCATTACCCTCCTGTGGCATGGCGTTGACCTGAGGTAACTACAGAATGAATATAATGAAAAATCAGACATATGAAGTAATAATAACAACATTTGGTTTCAAACAGTGCAATAATATTCTGCATGTGTGATTACAGACAAATAATAAAATAATAAAAATGATTAAGACAAAACTCACAAGACTACGGATAACATTTTTATTTAAGATAAATATATATAAAAAAAAAAAAAAACATACAAAAACAACAGCTGACATAGTCATGCCATGGGTGGTTGACTAACATTTCCCTAAACCCTAACACCCTTCAAAATTTTGTTTTCATTTGTGCATTTCTCCAGATTGTAAGGGGGACATTGTGATTTTTTCCACCGCCTGAGAGGCCAGGGGTGCCCTGTCCGTTTTTACCCCCAAAATATGTGATGAAATGTAATGACATGAAATAAAGACATTGGTGGAGGGTGTGGGAGGACGAAGCCTCAGGGGGAAGTTTTCCGGAAGGGACAGTGTCTACTCGAGGATGTACAGCCCCCCTCTTTTATTCTTTTCGTTATTTTCCATTTTTCTTGTTTTGTGTGGTCTCGTTGAGACCAAAAGGGGGAGCTGTTGAGGCGCTTATCAAGCTCAAATACATTCACATGCTTTCACACACTACACTCTCATATTCTCACACAAAGGCCCTTTGTAATTGTAATATCTATAGAAACTCCTCAGACTCCCGTCTCCCAGGAAATAGAAACTTAGTTGATGCAAATGACGTAAGACATCAGATGACCACCAGGTGCATCCGTAGTATAATAAACGAATCTTCCCGTTTTTGATCAGATGCTGTATAGACTCGGTCACATTCACGCCTAGTCTGTAAGGGTAAGCGTCTCCTTTTTTAGCGCTAAAAAAGAATAAAATAAGTAAAGTCTGATTGCTTGTGTTGGCTGATTTTCTGCTCCGTGTGCGGCACATTTTTGATCCATTTTCAACAG